TTTTTATCTTGCTCTATGTGCTGGTCAGGGTTTTTCTCAACTTGACACAAGCTAGACTCATCTAGGAAGAAGGAACCCCAACTGAGAAAATGCCTCCCTGTGAATGGCCTACAGGCAACTCTGTAGGGCATTTCTCAATTAATGATTGATGTGGGAGCCCAACCTACTGTCGAAGGGTCCATACTTGGGCTGGCTGTCTGGGTTGTGTAAGAAAAAAACACTGAGCAAGTTATGATGAGCAAGCCAGTATGCAGCGTTCCTCCATCTTCTCTCTGCATCAGTGCCTGCCTCCTGGTTCGCTGTCTGATTTAGTTCTTGCCTTGACATCCTCAGTAATGGACTGGGATGTGCAAGCCAAACCCTTTCCTCCAAAGTTGCTTTTGGTCGTGATCGTTATTGCAACAACAGAAAGCAAACAAGGACAGTCTAAGACTTCTATTGAGAAGTTGGCTGCCAGTTGTGGATGTTGTCCTCTTGTGGCCCTAAGAATCCTCTGGTTCCCCTGAAAGGTTGTTTAGGGCCTGTAATTTCAGCACTTAAGAGGTTGTGGCAGGATTTCCATTGACTTGGTGGCCAGTCTGGGGTATATTATGAGTTCCAGGCTAGCCTGGGCTGCAGTGTGAGCTCTACTTTTAAGTACCAACAAGTACTCCAGGCAGGGAAGCAGGTAGGTTAATTACAGATCTTCACCTCTCCCTCTTCCTTACATCCACCCTCCAGCCTCATCCCAGCTCTGCAGCAGAACACCTGCTGTAGCCTCCATCACTCATCTCCAGTGGATCCTACAAATCTTCTTCAAACTCCCTTCCCCCCACTTTGTCCCAGGCTCCAACTCCAGAAGGCATTTCCTGGGAAGCCACAGCCCATTCTGACCAGGGAAGCAAGTGTGCTAACTTCTGATCTTCCCTCCATTCCTCTAAGTCAAATCCCCCCGTCTCATTCATTACTAGCTGTGTAGTGCACCTTCTTCTGAGACCTGTCTAAGCAGATGCTGGAACATCCTCCATTATTATGAAACAAGCCCCCCAAACCCAGGCCATCCCAATTCCTAATTCTCAGGTCAAAACACCCAGAAACATATTTTACCTGCAATACCCAGTAACCACATCTATCAGAAGTTCAGAAAAATTTCCTACAGGCAACACACCCTCCTAAGAACCAGAAAGGAAACAGAAACCAAGGAACAAAACACCCACCCAACAAAGATAAGTCCAGCTACCAATACTTAGAATTACAATCTTTCCAAATCCTGGAAGCCTAGACACCAGTGTAAAAACACAATCAACAACAACCAGAGCAATATGTCTCCACTAGATCCCAACAACTCTAGCACAGTAGGCCCTGAGTATTGCAATATAGCTAAGGCACAAGAGAAAGACCTTAAATAGCCTTTATGATTATAATATGGTACCTTGAAGAGGAATCCAATAACTCCCTTAAAGAAATCTATGATGCTGCAACTAAACGGATAAGAAACAAGCAGGTGTAACTATCCTAATATCTAACAAAATAGAATTTAAGCTAAACTCAGTCAAAAAAGACAAAGAAGCTCATTTCATATTAGTCACAGGAAACATCTATCAAGAGGAAATCTCAACACTGAACATCTATTCCCCAAATACAAGGGCACCCTGACATGTTAAAGAAACACATCTAAAGCTTAAATCATACATTAAAGCCCACACACTAATAGTGGGAGACTTCAGCACTCCCCTCTCACAGACCTCAAAAGAACAGTACTCAACTTCATATGAAAAAGCAAAAAAACTCAGAATAGCCAAAACAATCCTGTACTTCTGGAGGCATCACAATCCCTGACTTCAAACTCTACTAGAGAGCTACAGTACTGAAAACAGACTGGTATTGGCATAAGAACAGACAGAAGGAACAATGGAACCAAATAGAAGACCCAGATATTAATCCACACACCTTCAAACACCCAATTTTTGACAAAGAAGCAAAAAATATCAAATGGATAAAAGAAAGCATATTTAAAAAATGATGCTGGCATAAGTGGATATCAACATGTAGAAGAATGAAAATAGACCCATATCTATCACCATACACAAAACTCAAGTCCAAATGGATCAAAGACATCAACATAAAGGCAGCCACACTGAACCTTATAGAAGAGAAAGTGGGAAGTACATTTGAATACATTGGCACAGAAGACTACTTCCTAAATAAAACCCCAGCAGCACAGACACTGAGAGCAACAATTAGTAAATGGGACCTCCTGAAACTGAAAAGCTTCGGTAAAACAAAGGACACGGTTGACAAGACAAAACGACAAACTACAAAATGGGAAAATATCTTCTTTAACCCTACATCAGACAGAGGTCTGATCTCCAGAATATACAAAGAACTCAAGAAATTGGTCACCAAAAAAACCCACATAATCCAATAAAAAAAAGTGGAGTACAGAATAGAATAAGGAGAAGAAACACAGGTTAAAGGCACAGAAAATTTTTCAGCAAAATCATAGAAAAAAAATTTCCCTAATCTAAAGAAGGAGATGCCTATCAAAGTACATGAAGCAGAAAGATCACCAAATAGATTGGAATAGGAAGAAAAAAGTGCCCTAGACACATAATCAAAACACTAAATTACTGAACCAAAAAAGTATATAAAAAGTTGCAACGAAAAAAGACCAAGTAACATATAAAGGCAGAACTATTAGAATAAAACATGACTTCTCAATGGAGACACTAAGAGCCAGAATAGCCTGTACAGATTCCTTGCAGACTCTTAAGAGACTACAGATGCCAGCCCAGACTAGTAGACCCAGAACAAATTTCAATCACAATAGATGAAGAAAATGAGACATTTCATGATAAAACCAAATTGAAGCATCATCTATCTAGAAATCTACCAATACAGAAGGTGCAGCCATACAGAATGTACTAGAAGGTAAGCTCCAATCTAAAGAGGATAACTACATCTAAGAAAAAAACGGGAAAAAAAATAATACCAGACCAACAAAGTCAAAGGAGGAAACACACACACATCACCACACCAACAACAACAAAATAACAAGACTCAACAACAATCAACAATCATTGGTCATTGATATCTCTCGACACCCACAGTCTTAATTCCTTCAATAAAAAGACACTGACTAATAGATGGATGTGTAAATGAGATTCAGCCTTCTGCTGCAGTCAAGAGACACACCTTGACATCAATGATAGACATAACTTAGGATGAAGAGTTAGAAAGACAGCAAAATTTAAGGGGCATTTGAGAGGCAGTATGGAGACTTGAGACAGTAGAAACTTCTTAAAATATATACGCACATGAAGGCAATCTAAATGAAATTGCCAAATAATGGAGGAGACAGAATCACAACTGGCCATCTCTTGCCACGCAATGAGGCTTCCAGTACCAGAATTGAGTTACATATAATTGAGTTCCTGGCTCAAAGGTCTAATGGGAATCCCCAAACAACCCATGCGGTTGCCAGGACCATAGATTGTTCTCCGCAGATTGACAAGTCCACATTGCTGAAGACAACACCCATATCGAACATGGAGATGTCGAGCTGGTGACTTCACCCCTAAGTTCCAGCTTCTTTGTTACAGGAAGGTACTCTGAATGCTATCAAAAGAGTGATGTAAACATCAACCTAGCACAGACCCTTTATCTACAGTGGTGTCCTGCCTGCAAGATACGTTAGGGCAATGGTGATACTAAGCTTGTGGGAGTAACCAATAAACTGATTTGACTTAAGATCAACTCCATGAGATGTAACTAGAACAGAATGTGTGACCAAGAACTTGAGACTAGATATCCCTGGGACCTAGGTAAAATCAAATACTACTGTTCTGAATCAAACAAAACCAAAACAACAACAACAAATGAATTGATAAAATGATTCCTAATGGTCAGGGGGAGGTGGCATATGCCTTTAATCCCAGCTGAGGCAGTGACGCAGGAGTCAGTGGAAGCAGAGGCAGGGGAGGAGGCAGAGGGATCTCTGAGTTTGAGGCCATCCTGGTGTGCAAGAGCTAGTAAGAAAGGATTGGGAGCTGAGGCCCTTGGAGGTCAAATATATTTCTGTTTTAATGTTGAGACAGGGTCTCATGTCTCCCAAGCTGTCATGAACACTGGCCCTGCAGGTTTTTCTTGAGCTTAGATCACCCTGCTTCCACTTCACATGGGCTAAGATTACAAGTGGGGCCCCAAAGACCTGTGAAGACAGCATTAGTCACTGAACCCAGGACATGTTACATGCTAGGCAGTCACTCTGCCAACTGAGGAATGTCTACAGCTGTTGTCTTGATTTTCCAACTATCCTTTCTTTTCCTTCAGTAGGCACTGAAACTCACAGAGGCCTGTAGCTAACCCTGCATTGTTGTCTTTGGTGCAGAGTGGAGAGCACCACACTCAGCCTGGCGGCTGTTTCACTTGGTGGATTCCCTAATTCTGTTTCCTCTGCTAACGAATCATCACACATTGACCAGCACCCCCATGGGGGCATTCCCTATATGCTGGGGAATCCCGGAATAATTTTCTAAAACTTAGCACATGGCTTCCATGACTGTATCCTTAACCTAAATCCCACACTGTAACCAGCTCTGCAGGTTCTTCCTGAATAAGCTTTCTAACACTTGTTCTTGAGGAAGGAGATCTTTCCTAGGTTATGTTCATCTTAACATAGACTCTCAGTGAGATTTACATGCTCATATTGATGAACAGTGATTTTGAGGAAAGATTGAGACATTTCCAGCATGTTTTAAAAGAAAAGCTCAGTTCTCAACATGGGAAGTTTGGCCTTCCAATCAAGCTAAGGGAACTCTGGGTTTGGAAGGAGGAGGTGATGAATGGCTTCCTCTGTGTTCCCAGAGAGGCTTCTGGATGGGGAAGTTGGCTTCTGGTCAGTTAAGGACAGCTAGTTAGCAGGGTGACAAATGCAGGTTCCCCTGACATCAGCAGTTCCTTCCCCCAGACAATTCTACTGTATCCCAGAGAACTCTTGGCATTCCATGTGATGTCACCAGTGTTGTAGCAACACCAACTGCCCTTAGGACATTCCTCGGTGCCCACAGGGTACAGCAAGAGTCATGTTCTCAAGACTGAGGAGTCTATTTAGGAGAGCGGATGGAGAACGTCCAGAGAACAGAGAGAGGCAGGAGGAGGCTGATGCTCAGTTTGGGCGTAAATCAGGAAGGAATAAATGGTTCTGGCGAAAATGTAGTAAGTCATGGGCTGGAGGTGGGCAGCTTTCTGGAAGAGGTGGATTTGAGGTGGGCCTTCCAGTAATGGGACAGAGGACCAGGAGCCTCTCAGTAGCTAATGGACATCCCTGATTATCATAACTTCTGAAGGTCAAAGATTCCAGAATCTAATTTTGCCCATCTCCTAAGCCAGAGTCTGACCAGGCCAAGGATGTTGTGCTGGAATGACCACTTAGCTGTGACCTTTACTGTGGTTTGGGTTGATATGTGGGGAAAAAAGGAGACCAGCAGGAGCAGGGAAGGACTGATGTGTCCCCACCTTAGGGAGGCATCACTGCCTCTCACCCTCTGTAGTTTCCTGTGGGTCCAGTCTCTGTCTGATATTAGTCACAAGAGAGAAAAAGTTCTTCTGGCCAAGACATTATGTCCTCCGACTGTACTACAGAATTCCTCTGAGCACCTCTCCCCAACAGTGGCCCCCTAGGGTTCTATGTCAGCAGCTGAGGATGGCAGGCAGTTCCCTAGGGTAGACAAACACCTGCCCGAGGTATGGGAGTAGAGCAGAGACTGGCTGCCTCCTGCCAGCTTCAGTGATCTGGGTTGTCGGTGGGTGACTTGGGGAGTCTGTTGACCATGTTGTGCCCCTGAATGGCTTTTCAATTGACAACCATGGGCCTGGATTGACCAGGAAGGAGATCTGGGCTCCTCACAGCAACCAAGTGCTTATGCCATTATTCTCTGAGCTTCTGAAACCCCACGCAGGCTTCAGGGCTCTAGACCATGTTGCATCCTGGGCTGCTGTGAATACTGTGCCTGAAGAAGTGGTGTCTGTGTTCCCCTGAAGCATGTGTAGGGAGGAAGAGGAAAGTGCTGACTGCTTAAGGAGCCACATCTCTAGAGCGATGTGAGAGCTGAGGTCCACAGAGGGAGCATCTCAACCTGGCCCAATATATTTGGGTTGTCACCAGGTTCCAGACATGATATTTGTGTTTGGGCCACGGGGTGGCCTGTCCATCGTCTATGCCTTGTTGCTATGCAATCTCACTTGTGTTCCATCTACCCACAGATGCTGCTACGGTGCCATCATTCAAACCAAGGCCCCTTACCCAGAAACAGATGCAGAAGGAAATAGAGAGGCTGACCACGGAGCTGCAGGAGATGACCAGCCAGAGAAATGAGCTGCGAGATCACGTGATCTTTATCATAGAAGGAAAGGTGGATGATAGGTATCCATTGTTCCAGACTTCATGGCACTGTCAGCAATGTCACCTCACCTGCTTTCTTTATGGTCTTGGGCTCCACAGTGTCATCTGACCTGAGCTTGTGGGAGCTCATGGATCTGGACCAACAGACGGGGAGCCTTCATGTGACCTAACTAGGCCCTCTGCTTGTGTGTGACAGTGCGTAGCTTGATCTCTTAGTAGGGCTCCTATCAGTGAGATCAGGACCCTTCCCTGGAGCTCATCTGCCTTTGGGGAGCCTGCTCCCATGCTGTATTTGCTTGCCTAGATATGGCACAAGGCAGGGAGCTCAGCCTGTATTAACATGCCATGCCGTGTTTTGCTCAAGTCCACAGGAGGCCTGCCTGTTTCTGATGGAGACAGAGGAGGAGTGGAAGGAGAGGGAGGTATAGATGGGAAAGAGGGTAACAGGGAGGAGAGAAGGCAGGGGTATATGCGAACAATTTGTAAAAGAAGTGTCTAAAATTTTATTTATATAAAGTAAAAATAAAATTCTGTTGTTTTTTTTTAAAAAAAAAAGTGTTGGTTTCTAGGAGGCTGCACTTTTTGAGTGACTAACCTCAAGTCCTAAATTCTCAGGGTAAAGGCAGTCCTGAAGCTGAAATGGGGACTCTAACAATTCTGCTTCCTCCAAGTGAAAACCAGAGCCTATGGTCTGAGTCACACAGCTAAGGGATTGGGGCAGTAATGTGTATTTCCCAGCATGCATTATCAAGGGACATGGCAGGTAGTGGCTTGTGTGAGATACTAGCTGCTGGTAGCTTGTAGGGAGTCTTTGGATTACTTGGGAGGAGACTGTGCTGAAAGCTGCTAGGAGCAGCTGGAGGGGCCTCTTCCTACTTGGTCCATCTCAGGGTAACTGGAGTCCTGGGGATCATCACAGTTTCTCTCTAGTTTTGTGCACTGTACTCATTGCCAATACTGCTCCACACATTTCTTTGGCATATGACTGTGGATGCTCACCCTCTGTGTTTCTGTATATCTCACCCTCTCTCTGTCATGTGAATGTGTGTGTCTGTCTCTGTGTGTGTGTGTGTGCATGCATATACATATTTGCTTATTTTCTTGACTCTACAGACTGTGGCAGGCAGGGATCTGTGCTGGGACCTAAGGATTTCCCTGCCCCAGTTTCTAGGCGATGCTAGTAGAGGTCTGGGAGCCCAACTTTAAACATTACTATTGTCTAATGTGCTCACTGTAATGGCACCTAGGAATCCCTTATGGAGTTTATATTACTGTCTGGCTATTGGATCTGAAACCCAGAGTAGTTTTTTCTGTCTTGCTGCTCAATGACAGTCACCCAGGGCCTAGAATCCTAATTCTGAAACAGATGAGATTTCATTGCAATATCTGGTGTTGCAGGACCTCTGTTTTACACTTCTGGTAACACATAGAGCTCAGCTGATCCTCTAGGCCTACTGCGTGAGCTCATGCAGCTAGGACACCCTCCATCTGAGCCAGGCCTCTGCTGACCTAGGGTCAGGATAACAAGAAATAAGCACCAAGAGGTCCCAGAACATAGAATCCAGAATGTGGCAACCCCTGGGCTGTGGTAGACTAGGATCCAGCTTGAGTTTCCATGATCCTCGAGGCCTGTGTTCATGGGATTCTTTCCTCCTGTTCTAGGCCCTATCACCCGCCCAATCCCCTGAATGAGAAAGTGAAGCTGCAGCACAAACAGGCCTTGTCAGCACTACAGTGCCTGGAGGACGAGAACACCGAGGCCTCAGAACAGCTGAGCGAGCTGACCAAGGAGACCGTCCTGTATCGGTAAGGGCGCATCTCGTCCTGGACCCTGAAAGTTGTGGAACGGCCATCTCTGCCTCTCTGTTTCTCTGCACGGAGACTTCCTGCCTCTGCCTCTAGACTTTCTGCTCCTTAGCAAGCAGCTCTGGGACTTGTGTCTCTTGGACTCATTATTGGAGAGTGTGAAAGAGACTGTTAGCCCTACCACCATTGTCCTAGAGCCTCTGGAGCCTCTAGATAGAAAAGGGCTTTGCACCATGAGGGAAATGCCAGGCAGCCCTGGGAGTCTGGAGCACAGGCCCAGGCTTGAGAGATCTGGTGGCTGTGGAACTTGTAGGTAGAAGAAGCTCACCTTTGGTCATCTGTCCCCCCTTGAAGGGTATTTGCCCTCTACATGGTGATGTTTCCCCATTACTATGGACAGTTAAGGACAGGTAGGGGACTCCTCTTCCTATTAAAGGGACGAGGATCCTGTTTGTTGTTGGGCTTTCTATAGTAGTTTGATACTTTCTGGTATTAGCTGCTGTCTCACTTTGGCTTTCTGAGTGTAGCTGTCAAGGCTGTGTCAGACTCTTAGATACATCTTTCAGGAAACATAAGGCCTTTTGGGGTGCTGGTTTTTGGAGGCAGGGGAGGCACGAGTGTCTGGTGGGGCCTTACTATGCAGTGTGTCTCTCTAGCTGTCTGCACAGCATGATCCTAATGCAGCATATGCAGCTGAAGAAGAAGGTGCACCTGCTGAGGCAGGAGAAAAAGAAATTGCGGGATTATTGGGTCCTACTGATGCAGCACGTAGAGGACTTGAAAGTGCTCTGTAAGGATCAAGGAGAGAACAGTGCCGTCAACACCCAGCAACAACAGGTAGGGGCAGGTAAATAAGCCAGACTAAGGTCTGGCCCCCTTTGCCATCCTGACTGCCTCTCTGCCCATCCCCACCTGTGCCCTCACCCTCACCTGACTCATTCGTGCTCCCATTCAGTCACCCACCTCATGCTACCAGGTCTTCATTACCATGTCCGTGTCCAAGTACTTCTGGGAAGTTGGCCTCTTATGAGAGACTGAGGTATTGCTCTATCTAAGTGCATGGCAATAGTCACCCAGGACCTGGAATTGCTGGCTGAAACAGGAGAACCATTCCTGCTGCTCTGTTTAAAGCTGCAGTCCAGTGAAGGAGATGGGTCAATAACATACCACACACCTACATGCATCTATGATAGGTAGCATTCTATGCACATAGCTTGGAGTGAGTGAGGTCTGGCTCCTGGGGATCATTTGCTTGGCAGGGCTCATGTGAGAGATCACAGGTGGGAAGCAGTTACAAGGAGGAGATCCCCATACAAGGGCCCATTGAGTGCCCACACTGTCATGGGTTAGGGTGGCATGGGGCCTTCTCCTTTCTTCCTCTGTCCCAATGAGTTCTCTTCCCTTTGCCCAGCTCTCAGTTCCCAGTGACAGAGTCTGAGCATCAGCTCGTCAGCCCTGTTGTCTGGGATTAGTGCTGGACAGTTCTCCCATCCAGCAGACTACAGTCTGGGGTTGATTGGATTATCTACTGGGGGCTTGAACAAGCTGGTGGTGGAAGGTGGGAGAATTGGGCCATCAGGGGAAGAATTTCTCTAACCAACTCAACATTGTCTGGCCAAGCAAATCACAACCGTACTAATCTCCAAGAAATGATGGCTGAGTTGTGGGACTGTTCTGAAAGAGCTGGTATGGTTCATCTAAACTGCTCATCCTACATGATGTTTCTACAAACCCCATTTCTCCCTCCCTGTTTCTCTTTCTTTAACTCTCTAACCTTGTGGTGCGTGTGTACGTACGCGCGTGCACGCATATGTGTGTGTAGTGTAAGCATATGGGCATTGTGGTGTATGACACACATGTTCATTAGCTAGCAGAGACCACTCTGTTTTTATTTATTCTCTGCCTTGAATCAGGCTTCCTTACTTCCCTGAATGTTTACTGTTTTTCCTGCCTGGATGACCAACAAGCTACTGGGTTCCTTTGTATCTGCTTAGATGTCTATGAGACTGTATAATCCTCCACTAAGAACACAATCTTCTAATGAACAGGAGCTCAAGGGATTGGTGGAAAGACTTCAGTTCCTGCTGAAGCAGAAGGAAACAGACACCCAGAAAAAGGTCTTAGCAGAAAAGCTGCGGCATCACTTTGAGTTCTCCCAGATGAGGTAGGAGCTCAGATTCGGAGGACATGATACAGCCAAGGGGATCCCCTGTACCTTGGACCTCTGTCTTTTATAAGTTTCTGCTCCTCTGCTTGGATCCAAGCTAGAACCATGGAAAGAAGCCCAAAGAAAATTGTGCTGGATCAGTCAACAAGAAATTCTATCCGGGAAATAAAACGTTATACAAGTGTGTTATTAGAATTGAGTCTCACTTTTTCCCTCCTGACCTTTCTCCATTCTAAGTAGACTTCCCTTTAACTCAAAGAGACCTGCCTGTTTCAGCTTCCCCAGAGATGGGATTTAAAGGTGTGCATCACCACACCTTGTTGAAATAACATTTTTATTTAGGAACATCCCGTGTAGAGAAGAGATTCCCACCATTGAGCAATGCTCTCTGCAACATTATCCTATTTCCTGTACGAAGGGTTCTCTGGATAGACTATGTTAAGGACTTTCCAGGATGAACTCAGGCAGATATGTCAGCTACAGGCAAGATCATAACCTTCTCGGAGTGTGCTGTAACAGACTCCCAAAGAGAGCCAGGATGCAGATTCCCAGCTCTAGTCCTAAGGAAATGCAAGTCTCTGTTTGGTCCCAGAGCCCAGACAGGGCCAGTGTTCTCAGCACACCTCACAGGAAATGCTGCTCTAGCATGGCAGGCTCTGTCTTGGATGGTACTCATGTTTATGGTCCCTCTGGGCATGAGGACTGAGCTGACCTCATGACCTTGTTCAGGTGCGCAGATGGCTAGGCTGTATTACTGCTATCAATAAGATGATGTGTTGATCAGTAACTCCTCATCAATACCAAGTGTATTGCTCATATACTGTTGGCAATTGTATTTATATTCTGCTGTTATGAACAAAATGATGTTTCTGATCTGTAGGAGAATGTTCTAATTTTCTAGTAGAAAAGACAACATACAAGCTCAGTTTAAGTTATGACATGTGTCTATTGCTGAGAAAAGTTCTAGGCCCAGCTACTCTGTGATCCTATTTCTCTGCGGATATAAAAACGTTATCAGTCCAAAGAACAGTGTAGGTTCTCCAGGACACCTGAGGTATTGGGAGGTAGGAGCAGACAGATGACATGGCATGTCCCCTCCTGACCTGTGCCTTAACTGCTATCCTCTCCCAGGTCCAAAACACTCCAGCCTAAGGAGGAAGAGGTCACAGCCCAGGATGAGATCCCCTTGCAGAAGGAGCTGCTAGAGCAAGAGCCACCTGCTGAGCTCTATTCCCAGCAACTACTAAATTCCAGGGATGAATTTTATTCTTCAAATTTGGATTCCATCATGGAATAGGCCTTGAGTATGTCTATCCAGTGACCCAGCATGGCTGCTTCTGGGTCTTGATTCCCTTTCCTTCTTGATCACACCCCTTGAGAGAACTGAGGAAGCCAAAGAAAGCCACAGACACCTAGAAACCATCACATTCTTCACATTAGCATCAAGGCCTCCAGACAAAAAGACACCCCTTGTAACTGTGAACTCACCAGGGAAGGAAATATCAGCTGCCCTCCAGGTGGTCATGCCCAATCTGATCCATGTGTCTGTTGACTAAGTTCTCATAAATAAAAGAAAGCAACAAAACCATGCTTGGGGTACAGAACACCAGAGACAAAAGTTACTCCTCCAAAGGCTGCATCTACCATCAGGTGGCCTCAGCCTTGGGGGGAACATGACATAGAACAGAAGAGAAATGACTACAGACATCTTGAAAAAGCTGTTCCAATCGGTGACAGCCTCACCACCATGTCTATGAGAGAATGCTACTTAGTTTAATTTTTGTTTGGTTTTGTTCTACATTTTTGTTTCTATTTGTTTCAGTTTTGGCTTTGTTACTTTGACGTTATCTGTTCTTGTTATTGATTTTCATAATTTGTTAAGAATATTATCTAGTGTTTATGTTGAATGCTCTGTTAAAGCCCCCTTTGAGAAAAATGTATTCTTTTTGAGATTTCAAAGTTAATTTATTTCACAAAGATGAAAATAATAAAAAACAAACTCCAAAGAGTTATGTGGCCAGCCCACCACGAGTGACAATATTTGAACTGGAAGTCTAGTGAAATGTTTTCTGTATTTGAACTTTTGGTGCAGCAGGCACATTACAGTCATAGAAGAGGCAAACTGGCTTTGCAGAGTTGTTTCAGAATGGGACTTCTAACAAAATAATAGACCAGGCTAATAGATAAATATAGTAGCCCCATAAGAAAGAGAAATACCATTCCAAAGAAAACTGAAGAGCGGTTCACTATTAAGGAAGAGCAAGGTAGATGTAGTCAATATTTGTCTTGAACGTAATGATGCCATTATGCCCTATATTTACTCTCTACCCTAATGACTAATTCCTCAATACATGTTTCAAATATTTTACCATTCAACATTTTATTGTAACTGTGTACCATAAGTTGTTTGTTTTAAAATATATTCTTGCATTAAAATTTTAATAAATTGTCAAATAACCAATTATATCAATTTTATCAACATTAAATCATAACATTGATGGTAATTAATTAAAAGAAAAAGAGTGTATATTGATCATTGTTATGGATAAATATATAAGTTTTCTAAATAAATATCCATAGTGGCATAAGTGCTATTAAACTTCCTAAAATTCACAGAAACTTCAAAATAGTGAGTCTCTACTTTATTCAGGTTATAACAAATTATGTTCAAGTCATTCTTTTTTAAATTTATTTACTTATTAAAATTTTCCACTTTCTCCTCTCTTCCCAATTCCCTCCCACTCTCTCCTTCCCCACTGCCTCTCCACTCCTAAAAGAAGTCAGGGTGCCCTGCCCTGTGGGAAGTCCAAGGCCCTCACACCTCCATCCAGGTCTAGGAAGGTGTGCATTCAAACAGACTAGGCTCCCAAAAAGCTAGTACATACAGTAGAATCAAAACCCAGTGCCATTATCATTGGCTTCTCAACCAGCCCTCATTGTCAGCCACATTCAGAGAGTCTGGTCTGATCACATGCTCATTCAGTCCCAGTCCAGTTGGCCTTGGTGAGCTCTCATTACATCAGTCTCACTGTCTTAGTGGGTGGACGCACCCCTCGTGGTCCTGACTTCCTTGTTCATATTCTCCCTCCTTCTGCTCTTCATCTGGACCTTGGGAGCTCAGTCCAGTGCTCCACTGTGGGTCTCTGACTCTATTTCCATCCATCACCAGGTGAAGGTTCTATGGCGATGTGCAAGATTTTCATCAGTGTGGCTGTGGGAGAAGGCCAGTTCAGGCACCCTCTCCTCTGCTGCTCAAGGACCTAGATGGGAATATCCCCTTGGACACCTGGGAATCCCTCTAGAGCCAAATCTCTTGTCAACCCTAAAATGGCTTCCTTTAAAAAGCAGTTTCCAAGTCTTCACACTTACACCCATCTTCTTTAGTCAGGTGTGGTGTCACACTGCTGCAACCCCAGAACTCACAGGTACAGATGAATCTCCTCTAGTTCCAGACAGCATGGGCTACATAGTGAGTTCCCAGCCAGCCAGGGGGACACAGTAGATTTTTATCTTGGGTACTGATAGCATGGCTTACTCCATGGAAACACACCTTAGAGTGGAAGTAGTATCCATACTGTATTCTTGATGTCATGTATTTAACTAACCCTAAATATGATACTTTCTAGATACACTTTTATGGATTGGCCATAAGGACCACATTTTTGAGAAATTCACCTTTATTGCTCTGTGGACTCTCAGGCAATAAAAACATTCATTACGGGAATACAAAAGAAATCAGGAAACCAAGACCTATCTGCCTCTGTTTTTCTTGCAACACAGCGTCCGTGATAAGCACACAACACATTAATGACCTTCCAGGTCACATTAGGAGATAGTGGCTATTGGCCTTGAGCTTGTATTTGCCCTACACGAACGTAGCTCCCACAGAGGCCTGAAGAGGGCACTGGGTTTCTGTTCCTCCTAAGTTCTAAGGTGCCATGTGAGAGAACAGCAAATGCTCTTAACTATGAGACATTTCTCCAGCTTCTGCTCTTGGCTTTTGTCCTTCAAACCATAGGTGCTGTATAAGTTATGGGGATCAGCCTCAACCAAAGAGAGAAGTCACTGGGAATGCATGGGGACAGGTATACACGAGGTAGGCGTGCTAATTGTCTTAGGCTGCCAGGCATCTATGGCAGGGTCATGTGTCTCCACTGATCTTTGTGGGTTCAGGACCAGGCCACATCATCACTACTTACTGTTAGCATTGGAGCAGATCTGCCACCTCTCGTCTAGGACGACGGTGTAGACTAATCACATCTATGAAATGTCGAGTTGAGGTGACCCTCTTGGAGCCTGAATGTGGGGCAAAGATGCCTTGATAGCAAAATTCTCCAGCTAAAGCAGTGCTGGGAAGGAGCTCCAGAGCAGGCACAGTGCATGGAGCCTGCAACAGAAGAGAAATGCCTTTGGTGGAGAGCATGCCTGTGCAAGTTCGGGACAAGAGAGGGACAACTGAAGTGGCCTTTGCCGTGACAGATCTGAGTGTATTTGGGCACTTGAGTTCTTTGCCATCTCCCCAGGCCTATTGAGGCAGGGTTTCTTCTAGGTGATTGTTTTATAATTGGACAGGTGCCAGGAGTGGATCCGACTTCTGAGACTGAGGAGAGTCAGAGAGTGCAAGTGTGGAGGGAGTTTCTCAGACAGGTGCTGAGAAACCAGGAATCATCAAGCTCAGCAGCCAGAGAACCAGGATAGGGGATTTGGTTCCTCACTGTCATGGGTCTCCTTCTCTTTGTGAGTTGACCCTGACCCAGAAAGGGCCATCTATAGACACATTGAAAACTATGTGAGTCTTGGTTTAGGCCACACTACCTAGTTCCTAGTATACTGAGTGGGTCTCTGTAGAGGGCTGGTTTTGAACTGCATAGAAACTCTGTGCAAGGGAGACTTGAGGTAGCATTCTTGCTGATAGGCTTGGCAAACCAAGTCAGGAGGAGGCAAACCTTTCCCATCAGTAGAGTGCCTTGCCAATGGTCTGTCCTTGCGAACACAGATGTGCAGTATAGTTCAAAGGCTCTGATTAGGTTGTGGTTTGTCTTATGATGAGGTGTTTTTACATATTATATTACAACAAGACTTATTCCCATAACACCGAGCTTTTTGTTTAGATTAGCTAGGGCACAAAGCTCTTGAAATTAATCGCAACTAAATGACTAGTCTATGAAACTAATTTCATGTATTATGGGAACCTAGTTTGAATCATGATTTGAGTATTATAAAAAGAGCAATGGCTTTGCAATAAAGTTTGCAGCTATATCTCCTACTCTGCATCCCCTGTGTCCTGATATCTGCAGCACTACCCAGGGTCATCCATAACCGAGGAGGTTGGGGAAGGGTCCCCAACAGGTCTCCTTCTCCATCTTCTCAGTATATGGAGCCAGCTATAACCTTTTCACACGTGAGTCTTCAGTAGAGTGTTTGGCTGGTTTGGTAAATGCTGACAGATAGGTAGATTAACCTGGCTGCTTTTACTACATTTCTGAAGATAGATAATAGTTTCATTTCAGCTTTTCACAGGCTAAATTGTCCTTAGTGTTGAGTTGGGTTGAAGCCCCCTTTTTCCGCTCCCATTTATCTTAACAGTCCAGGTTGCTGGTTTGTTTGCAAGTTTGTTTGTTCTGTTCTCTTTTGTTTTTCTGAGACAGGGTTTCTCTGTGCAATAGTACTGGCTGACCTGGATGGAGCTCCTTTTATAGACCAGGCTGGCATCGAACTCACAGAGATCTGCCTGCTTCTGTTTCCCAAGTGCTGGGATTAAAGGCATGTGCTACCACTACCCAGATACACACCCAGTCTTGAGTGCATTCTGTCAGCCATTTTCATGGTGTGGTCTTGGAGTGGACAAACTGACAGCTGAGTCGTTTCATCCAGCTGCCTTGTTATTGCTGTGAAAGATGAGTGGACTTCTAGACCCAGGAAGAAACTCAGTGCTAGAGTAGTTGCTTAGAATGCACAATGCTCTAGGTTCAGTTTTAACCCATGTAGTTAGAGGTGAAGAAAAGATAAGAATCCCACAACAGCAAGAAACGTAGCTTAGAACCTACGTGGAGCTTTTAAGTCCTCGGTCCTCCAGCTTCCAACCTCCCAACCCCAAGCTTCACAGCTCCCTCCATGGACTCCACCTGTTGAACATGTATTTTTCACTACAGCAATCATTTATTTTGGGGGTGGAAAGATTCTATATTTTAGTAATAAAGCACAGATATGTACTCAGAGCTCATAAATACTGATGTACAGCTTATGAAATGCCATGTTTGAGGTGATCAGCTAGCTGGTGAGATGGCTCAGTGG